CGTTTTTTACAATGACGTCATATTATTTCCCATTGATTCCCGAAATGAAAATCCGCCATGATGGATGCGAGAAAAGGATGCGAGGGCGAGAGCGTAAGAGAGAGAGAGAAAAAAAAAAATCACGTAATCGATAATTAAATTATCGTTTTGATTTATTCGATCGAATTTTCATCGAGTTAAACCTGTACGATTTTATTTTTTTATTTTTCCTTTAGATTTTCTTGGAAATTTATGTACCTTAACCTTCATATCAACAGGTACATCCTGTCGTCTTTTATTATCATTTTTTTTTTGGTTCCCCCCCTCCCCCCCGTGAACAAAAAAAAAACTGTCAAAATTAATTAATTAAAAATTTGGAAAACGTTTTTAATTATTTGCAAACACCGGGGTGCTGGAATTTTTTTTTTCCAAATCGAAAATTTATTTTATTTTTTTTTTATTTTCCAGGCGTTCCAGGCGTTCTGTGTCAAATTCGAACGTTCGTCCTTCTCCAGAATTTAAAAAGGTAAGAAATTACATTTATTTAATTACGTAAAAGAATAATAATAATAATCGAGTGTGCTCTTTAAAAAAAAAAAAAACTTATATACTGATTTATTCGATTTAAAACTCACGTGACCAACCAATCAATCGTTTATTATTATTATTATTATTATTATTTAATCGAATGAAATGGACTCCAGCTGTTTGTTTATTTCAATTTATTTATTTTTTGAGAGGAAAAAAAACTTTTAAAAAAATTACTCGGGGCGGAGCGGGGGGGGGGCTGGGGCGGGGGAGGAAACGAGTCGAATTGTGTGTCGTCATCATCTTATTAAACTTCCGTTAATAATTATTTGTTTAGTTTTCCGTTTTAAAAGAAAATTTTTTAAATGGAAAACTATACCGGAAAAATAATTGTTGTAAACGTTTTACCTTTTCTTTTTTTAATCCTTTTACGGTCAAATTAATTCTTGGAATTAAAGGAATTAAAAATAAAAAGGGGATGAAAAAGATATTCCGGGAAAAGGGGAGGGGAGGAGGTTTCGGATAAAGGTTGGACGTTTAATTAATTACAATTATACAAATTTAAATTTTTTTTTTTTTTTTTTTGGTTTTTCTTTCTTTTCATTTTTTTTTTTATAATTTCATTTTAAACATGATCGTTCTTTTTTTTCGGGAGAGGAGGAGGAGGAGGGGAGGGAGGGGACGGAGGGGGGAACGAATTAATAACATTTGACCTTTTTCCCCTTTCCGTCACTTTTTTTTTTTTTTTCATTTCACCTGTTCACCTGTTTTTCCTTTTTCCTTTTTTTTTTGTAACCTTGTGTGAAACGTAATAAAATTGATGTATGAAGTTTATTAAATTTTTTCCCATTTATTTTCGTCCCGTTTTTTCTCTCTTCTTCTTCATAAAAAGAAAAAAAAATGGCTTCCTAAATTTTTTTTTCTCCTCTTTCCTTCTTATTTTATTTTTTTTTTTTAACAAAAAAAAATTTCTGTGGAAAATTTAATAAAGAAAGAAAATCAAAAGGAAAAAAAAAGAAAAAAAAAATTTTTTTTTTCTTTACCTTCGAAAACGAAACTTTAGGCTTTTATTATTATTATTATCGTTGTTATCATTATTATTATTATTATTATTATTATTATTATTATTATTATTATTATTATTATTATTATTATTATTATTATTATTATTATTATTATTATTGTCATTATTTATTAAAAAAAATTGAGTTTCAATGATTAATAATCGATTTATACCGACGGTACGAATGAAGGATAAAAATCAATTTTTATAAAAAAAAAAAAAATTTGATTTTTATTTTAAATTTAATTTCGATTCGCCATTTTGTTTTTTTTTTTATTTCACTTTCTTCCTTCCTTTCTTTCTTCCTTCCTTCCTTCCTTCCTTCTACTCCTTCATATTTTTTCAATTCGTTTATTAATTAAATTTTTTTCTTTAATTATCCATACCATAGCTTTTCTTTTTTTTTTCAAATCATTTTTCTTAATATCCCGAATAATAATAATGATGATAATAATGATGATGATGATGATGATGATGATGATGAGAATGATGATTATGATGAGGATAATGATTTCCATTTTTTTTTTTTTTTTTGCGCGCGTGTTTTTTTTTTTTTTTTTAAGGTAAAATTTATTATCGAGGATTTAATGCTCGAATTCATTTTTTTTTTAAATAAAGGTGATATCGAACGAAAAAAAAAATGAGAGTTGGAAAAATTGGAGGAGGTAAAGCGGAAGGGGAGAAGGAGGGAGGGAGGGATTCGGTAAAAAAAAAAAGAAAACGAGTTAGAAATTAAAGTTTTCCGGATGGAAAAACATAAAATTAAAAAAAATGGAGTTTTTTTTTCTACTCGTTTTAAATTAAATAAAAAAAGCTCGAATAGTCAAAACAGAAAAAAAATAAAAAAATGAAAAGGATTCGTAATTAATGATGATGACGACTATTATAATGTTGATGACGATGATAATAATAATAATAATAACAATGTTATTTTGTGCGTTCATAAAAATTTTCATTGTAGTCTAATCGGGGGAAAAAAAAATAAAAAAAATAATTTTATTATCATTATTATTTATTGGGATTGATAAGGAAAGGGTTACAAAGAGGAAAAGTCGTTTTGACAAATCGGTTTGAATTTTTTTTTTTTTTTGAAAAATGTGGGGTAGAAGGAAAAAAGTCAAATAAAAAAAAAGAACGAATGGGAAAACAAAAAAAAAAAAGAGGAAGAAGAAAAAGAAAAAAAAGGAGGTTTATGTAATCGTAACTTAAAATTTAACGAGAATCGGAATAAAATAGGAGGTACGATAATCAACAATTATTACACCTGATAGAAATCGTTCGACGTTCGGGAAGGGGGGGGGAAATTATAACGATGAAAATTTTACGTTCGCACGGTAAATGCTATACCGATTCGAGAAAAATAATTTGTTCGGTCAAGTAGAAGAAAACATCAAATGTGAAAATCGAAATTTAATTATCCGTTCGAGAATTTCCCCCCACCCCCCCCCCCGACGCCCCCTTTTTATTATTATTATTATTTATGAGAAAATGAGTTCGTTCGTTCGTCGGAACGTGATCGGAATCGTCGTATACGATAATTATGAACAGATGGAAAATGATGATCCGTAAATTTTTATTCTCGTAAAAATGGCCGACGGTTAAAAAATTACCGGAAATCGCATTACTATCGTCACGACGATACTCAAAAAAAAAATTTTCCAGAACGTTAAAACGTTTTCCGGGAAAATCTTCGTCTAACGAAATTAATTAATTTCTGATAAGGTTTTTAAATGTTAATTAATTAATTAATTGATAAGATTTTTCCAATTTGATAATGATAATAAATTTTGTCGTGATAAGAAAAAAAAAAAGTGACGAGCACCGTCGGCCATATTGAAATTTTAAGAAAGGCTTTCGCCGCTAATAAAGTGTAAATAAAAAAAGAAAAAAAATTTAAATCCGACGAACGAACTTGACGACGGGGAAATTTTTTTTCTTTTTTTTTTTTTTTGGCGGGAAAATTTAAATTTAAAATTTTTTTCCCTTTTTCCTCCTCTTTTTTTTCTGGAAAATTTTGTCATTTTGAATTTTCGATTACGTAAACCTTCTAAATTATGTAAATTTTAAAACGTGCAAAAAAAAAAATTTTTTTTTTTTTCGTTCTTTTTCTTTTCCTCCCTTTTTTTTTTTTTTTTCTTCAACGATGATAAAAAATTCATTTTCGCAAATTTTTTTTTTTTTTTTTTGCCTTTTCCGGAAGGTTGGGGTTTTTTTTAAAAAGGGTACGCAAAGTCACCTTTGACCTAAAAAAAAAATTTTGTTCCATTTTTTTTTTTTTACATAAAAGGGCCGTAATTAAACGTTCAGATGTTGTCGTAAAACTTTTTAAATAATTCAATTTAATAATAATAATAATAATAATGATAAAAATTGTTAAAAATGGCGGCGACGACGACAATAATAATAATGATGATGATGATGTTTTTTTTTCCTCCGTATTTTAAAAATGGATTTGTAAAATTTTAACGTTTTCTTTTTTTTTCTCCCAATTTTTATTTCTCGTTTCGTACAACTATTCTACTACTCATAATAATAATAATAATAATAATAATAATGATAATGATAATAATAATAACAAATGGTAATTGAATTTTTTCGCGTGAGAAAAAAAAGAAAAAAAATTATTTTTCCACCTGCGTTCACGAACGTTTCGGATTACGTAGTAATTTAAATTGCAACGAAAATTGTTTTTTTTTCCTCCCTCTCCTCCCCCTCTTACCCCCTCTCCTCCCCCGAAAAAAAAAGAGATGAAAAATTCAAACCGGAAATGATATTACGTGGAAATCGCACAAAAAAAATTTTTAAATGTAAATCATCAACTGACACACAATAATCTCCATTCAATAATTAAAACTCGAAAAATTTATTTAAAACAAATAATAATAATAATAATAATAAATTTCAATTAATAATAGATAATTAAATTTACAATTAATAATAAATTAAAAACAAAAAAAAAAAACAAACAAAAGCGGAAACGGCCATTTTGAAAAAAAAAAAAAAAAATTTTTTTTTTCCTCCATTTTTATTTAAATAATTTTTTTTTTTTTTTATTATTATTTAATGTCGTACATATTTATTTATTCTCGCATTTTGAAATCAAAATATAAACAATAATAATAATAATGATAACAATTGACGATAATAATAATAATAGTGGGAAGGTAAAAAAAATTAAAATTTAATTTTAAACGTGATTGCCCAAAGAATAAGAGAGAGGGAAAGAGAGAGAAAGAAAAATTTTCATTTATTTATTTTTATTTAAATTTACATTAAATTTAGATAGATAATAATAATAATAATAAAGGAAAATTTTCCGAACGGACTGAAAAAAAAGGGGGGGGGGAAAGAAGAAGAAAAAGAAAAAAAAAAAAAAATTTTCCGATATATTTTATGATGATTCAAAGCGATTTTATTACGTTCGTGGTTATTAACCGGCTGTGAGTTCGGCAATGGTGGAATCCACATCGTCGCAAACGGATTTGTATTTTTCCTTTTCTTGATACAATATATCTGAAAAAAAAAATTATTATTATTATTATAATAATAATATCTCTCCCGCCATTTTGTTTTTTTTCGTCTGGTTCGACTTCCGGTTTACGAAAATTTAATTATCGGAATTATCGGGGAAAAAAAAAAATTTTCATAGACGTTTTTTTTTTTTTTTTCTCTTTCGATATTAATTTAATTTTCTATTTCGACGGTAAATAATAATAATAATAATAATAATAATAATTATTATTATTATTATTATTAAAAAATTGATAATGAAAGAAGAAAATAAAAAAGAAAAAAAAATCTCCAGTCAGTCGATCGTTACCGTACTGGAGAAATTTTTTTATATTTTTTAAAATTAAAAACGTTGAAAAAAAAAAAAAAAATTAAATTAAGAGAAAAATTAAATTTTGTAGGCGCGTTACAAAAAATAAAAAAAAATAGACGTGGAAGAAGAAAAAGAAAAAAATTAAATTAAATAACGATAATTAAGTTAACCGTTAATAAAAAAAACGTACCTTCCAGCCTGTCGACTTCCTTTTGAAGTTTCTTAACTGTTTTCTCAGCGTATTCGGCTCTGGCTTCGGCCTGGAATTCGAAATAATAATAATGATAATTCGTTTTCGAAAAGGCTGAGGGGAGGCGGGGAGGGGGGCGGGAAAATTTTTTTACTCACTTCTTTCAATTTAACGGAAAGAGACTTGATTTGCCTTTTGTATTCTTCGACTCTTTGATTGGCTTTCTCTTCGGATACTTCCAAAGATTTCAAGCTGTTACCGACGACTTTCAATTCTTCTTCGAGTTCCATGATTTTCCTGGAAAGGATTTTTATCAATTAATATCATTATCACGAGTGAGTGAGTGATTACGTCACGAATACTCACAAGTCACCAGATTTAACTCTATCTTCGGCTACTTCGAGCTCATCTTCAACAAAGGCGAGCTTTCTCGATACCTGAATGAAAATAATTTTTTTTTTTTTTTTTTAACGTATTCATAAACGTAAAGGGGGGTTGAAGGAAGGGGAGGGGGTTGCAAAAAGAAAATTTACTTCGTCGGATTTTCCATCGGCATCTTCGGCAAGCATACGAGCTTCTTTAAGTTGATTGTTGAGTTGATCCATCCTTTCCTCATCTTGTTGGGACCTGTTTTCCAATACTTTGCACATACGGAAAGATTCATCCGCGGCTTGAGATGCTTCAGCCAATTTCGTTTGAGCCGTTTGCGATCTTTCTTCGGATTTTTCCAAATTTTCTTCAACTTCTTGAACTTTTCTATTCAACGAAGCAACTTCGCTTTCAGTCTGCAATCCAAAACGCGTATGGAGAAAAGAAAAATATTAATAATAATAATAATTTATATAAAAAAACGTTTTCAACTTACAGCAGCCAATTGTTTTTCTTTCTCTTCCAAATTTTTGTTTGCTGTTTCCAAATCATTTTTAGTTCTCGACAGATCAGCTTCGATTTGATTTAATTTCTTTTCCAATTCCATAACTTCTTCGTTGATCTATTTATTTATTTAAATAAAAACAAAAAAATAAATTTTCCACGAGTGATAATAATAATAATAATTTTTCCCAAATGAAACAAACCTTATCAGCTCTTGCGTTGGCATCCTTGGCTTGTCCTTCGCAAGTATCGGCCTTGTCCATGGCGGCATCCTTCTCCATTTTTATAGCTTGCATTTTCTTCTTGATTGCCTCCATTTTGAATTTTTTCTTCTCCTTTTTCTAACTCAGACGAAACTGTAATAAAAAAAAAAAAAAAAAAAAAAACAATTTTTTATCATTTCAATGAAATTTATACCGGACTATCGGAATTTTTTTCTTTTCTCTTTCCAGTTTGGAAAAAAAAAGGAATCGGGGGATGGGAGGGGAAGGAAGGGAGAGGGAAAGCGAGCGAGCCTTTTCATAATTTTTTTTTATGCAAAAATTTCAATTTAAAAATAAATTAAAAATAAATACGACAAAAGCGCGAGAGAATTCGGTTAATTAAACAAACAAAAATTGTAAATAACAAAAATTAGAAACATTTCAACAACAACAACAGCAACAACAGCAAAAACATTAAAAAAAAAGGAAGAAAGGAAAAGTTTAAAAGGTCAAAAACACCGAGTTTCATACCGACAGGGATGTGAAAGGGGTGTTTATAAAAATATGGGAAATAAAATGAGGGTAGGGAAGGGGAGGTGAAGGAGGAATAGGGAGGGAAATGGGGGAGGAGGGAGAGAGGGAGGGAGGGAAAACAAACGTAAAAATAAAATTTCTTTAATTAAAATCCCAATTAAACGGTTTTTCTTTTCATTTTCCTTTTTAATGCTTGTCATGTCGTGTCAGGAAAAGAGTATAAAAAAAAAGAACAAAAATTTTTTTTTATTTTTTTTTTTAATACCTGATTTTTCCTGTCGATTTTTCTTTTTTTTTATAAATTTGATACGCGACGTAAAAAAAGAAAAAAAAAGAAAAAGCAAAATGAAAATTTTGATGGCCGACAAATTTTTGTGTTCGTGTTCCCAATTTTAGACTGACCAATATAAAATTTTTTTGGACAAAACCCAGATTTAATTTTACGAGTGAAAAAAGAAAAAAAAAACATTGGGTGGAAAAACATTAATTTTCTTTTTTCTTTTTTTTTTGCAAAATGAAATTTAAGTAATTTTTTTTTATTAACGACCAATATAAGCCATTTTGAAACGTTTATTATTATTATTACTATCATTACACTCGAGATTCGAGTAAAAATCTGGAGAAAAAAATTATTATTATCGAGCAATTAAAATCTTTTGGTTTTCCCCCCTCCTCGATTTTCTCTCTTTTCTTTTTCCTTCTTTTCCAAAAAAATCTATTTAATGTAATTTTAGATTCGATGTAGTAGAAGCAGAAGAAAAAGCAGAAGAAAAAAAAACGCGTAAAATAAAAAAATAAAAAAAGTTTTTTTTTTTTTAAACGAATAATTAAATAAATTGATGAAACCTTAATGAAAATTAAAATAAAAGAAAAGAAAGAAAAACTTGAAGAGAGTAAGAGAGAGAAAGACTTTTATAAAAGTTAAAGAGAGAGAGAGAGAAAAAAAATCATATCGAATTCAAATCGTCTTCTGCTTTTTTTTCCCTCTCTCTCTCTCATTCACTCTCACACACACGATATTTCTTTCATTTAAACGCATTTTTAAAAAATTTATAAATAATTGTAACAATTTTTTTTTGTGCGTGTGTGTGTGCGTGTGCGTGTGTGCGTATATTTAAAATATTTTTAAATACAAAAGAAAGAAAGAGAAAAAAAACCCCATTCGATAAAAAAAAAAACGTTTAAAAATAAATCGGTTACGAGATTTTAATATAAACGTATCTCAAATCGTTGTTGTTTTCGTTGATGATGATAATAATAATAATAATTGTTTTGTTTTTTTTTAAACATGTTTTTACGCGATTCTAGAAAATTCGTTGATGAGAAAATGAATTTAATTTATTCACGATTTTGCTGCTGTTGCTGTTGTTGTAAAATTTTTACTAACGACAAAAGTAACAAAGAACAATTCAACGAACCAAGTTATTTTATTTTATTTAATATTTTTTTTTTTTACCTATTTAGCGGTTTCGGCGGTTTCGGCGGTTTTATATTACCGTCACTGGAATCCTTTGAATTTTCTTTTGCGCCGCCACCACCACTCCGCCACCGCCCCCGCTGCCTCACCTCTTCATTAAATTCTCTTTTGTTAAATTAACGAATTTTTTTTCTTTTTTTTTTTTTCGAATTTAAAATATTTGAACTTTAACGATATAAGATATACGAAATTTATTATTATTTTTATTATTATTATTATCATCATCATCATCATCATCATCATCGTCATCATTATCGTCATTGAACGTTTAATGAGAAAAAAAAAATGGCGTTCGTTTCTAAAATTAAATCTTTGAGCGTTCGCTCAAATTTTTGGCAAAAAAAAAAAAACTTGGTATTTATCAAATGAAAATCTTTTTAAATATTTATTGATAATAATAATAGTAATAATAATAATAATGATAATAATAATGATTATAATATTAATATTAATAGTAATAGTTGTGTTATAAACGGTTTTTTTTTAAATTTAGATAGGAAAACGATGAAAATTTTTCTTTTTTTTTTTAATAAACTTTCGATACGAGAGAGATAGAGAGAAAGAAAGAGAGAGAGAGACACATACACACAGAGAGAGAGGGGGAGAGAGAGACACATACACAGAGAGAGAGAGAGAAAGATAGAGAGAGATTTTTAATTTGTATTTTTCTTTTTTGTTATTATTGGAAATATAAATTTAAATAAGTCGTTAACAGGTTATTTAAATATATAAAAAAATCGTTATTTTTTAATTATTATTATCATCGCATTGGGTCGGGGGAGGGGAGGAAAGTCGATATGTTAATTATTATTATATTTTATTAAAAAATTTTTAAGTAAAAAATGAAAAACAAAAACCAAAATTTTAATGAATGTATCATAATCATCATCAACTACAAAAATTTTAATTTTATTTATTCCTGTTGCTCCTACTGTTGCTGCTGTTGGTGCATTTAAAACGAACGTGAAAAAAAAAAATTAAAAAACTTAAATTTATTTATTTTTATTTAAAACTAATTAAAAACAACAGCAAAAAGAAAAAAAAGAAAAGTTTTTATTGAGTTAAATTAATTTTTTCGAATCGAATTTTATTTTTTTTTAGTTATATTAAGATTTTATTGGGGGGGCTTTTTTTATTCATTAGTAAATTAAATATTAAAAGAGAAAAAAGTTTAGTTTTTTGTTTGCCTACCTTTTTTTTTGGTTGTTATTATTGAATTTGATGAGCGCTTTCGAATTTTTTTTAAATTTTTTTTGTTATTAAAAAAATTCGCGGTAAGAACACGACACTGGTGTCCCAAAAGCACTGGCGATATGGGTTTCGTGTCGATGCCCAAGAGTCATAGGGGAAGCCAAAAATGGCACAAGAACAAGGGGAACCGCGTTAAATCGGGATTTTAAAAATGTTCGGGTGGGAGAAAATTATTTCTACTCCTTCTTCTTCTCCTTCTTATTCTCATCAGCATCATCATCATCATCATCATCCTCTCCTGGATTCATCTTTTGGTTTATTTTAAAAAAAAAATTTTTTCTCCTTCTTCGAAATTGAATCTTTAATCTGTTGGCTTTACTACTGTGACTGTTTAGAAAGATTTCTCCCTATAAAAAAAAAAATTAAAAATTTCCGTCATTTTTTATCGTTTTATTGTTTTGCGAAATGAAAATTCAATTTTGAATAAAAGTATAATTTTTTTTTTTCAAAATGAATGAATGAATGAATGAATGAGCAAATATAATAAATTTGAATGTTTTTTTTTTGAAAAAAACATTGGGAAAAAGGATTTTAATCAAAGTATGACCAAAATAAAAGAAAAAAAAGTTAAAATATTTTTAAATAAGTGAAGAAGGAAAAGAAAAAAAAAGAAAAGAAATTTTTTGTGGGTGTCAATACAAAAAAAAATGTTGACAATAAAATTTAAATGGCGACAATGGCGGTTTTTAAATCTGCTGCCACGAAAGCGTCATGGTAGACGGTATCATCAATGTTTTGAAAATACAATTTCTTCACTTAGTACTAATAATTTTTTTAAAATCGTGAATTTTTTTTTTTTTTTAATTTTAATTGAACAATATATAACATAGGTGTAATAAAATGGCCCCGACGGGGACCAAAAATAATAAATTTTCCGAAGGTGAAAATAATCAAATCATTTTTTTCAAATTTATTTTTAATTTAATTGGGTCTACAAGTGATAAGGCGGTTGTTCAAAATTTTCCCATCGGTTTAATTTAATTGTTGTTTTTTACAAGTTTAAGTGCAAAATAAGAAATCTTGTGTATTTATTATAATTTCTTTTTCACTTATTGTATATATATTGTTTCTCTAAAAGTTACATTCCATTGTCAATGAGATAAAACAAATTTTTTTATTTTTAATTAAGATTTATCTGTTTCTTTTTTTTTCTTAGGAGAAAAAATTTTATGCTTTCATGGTCCCTTAATATATGAAGCAAAATGTTTAAAGTTTCGAGTGAATGAAGATGACAATAATTTAAATGAATATTGGGTTCATTATGCTGGTTGGAACAAAAGGTTCGACATTGTTACAAATATCGTTGGTGTGTGTGTGTGTGTAAACGATTGACAATTTAAAAAAAAAAAAAAAAATTTAATTTCAGTTGGGATGAATGGGTTCCAGAATCGAGAATATTAAAGTACAATGATGCCAATGTTGCCAGACAAAAAGATTTACAAAAATCTCACAAGTCTAGACTGCAGAAAAAATCAAAAGGGTCTACACCGAAAGCTGTTAAATCTGCTGCCAAAGAATCAAAATCCTCCGATGCTAAAAGCGATGTGTCTCTGCATGATTCCGATAGCAGGTAATTAAAAAAATTATTATAAGTACTACAGGATTAAACATTCACATAACTATTAAAGTATTGTAGAATTATGTACTTGGGGTTTTATTTTAAACATATTAATTTTGCCTCAATACTCGATTTTCAAAAGAAACAATATATTTTTACTGGATTGCAATCAGAAAAGCACTTACATCGAATAAAATTTTAAAAAAATATACATATTTATTTTCAGATCATCAACACCTAATTTAGATTCAAAATCTAAAATCAACAAAAAAGAAAATAAAAGAGAAACTCTAAAGAGAGAAAGTCCATTGCCACTGCAAGAAAGTTCATTAGATGTTCCGAAGAGAAAAAAACGTCCAAAATTGGATTCGACGTTTGAAACGGAAACACAATACATGCAAAAAGTTGAAATTAAGGTTTTACTAGATTATTTCAATTACATTTTTTTCTTAATAATGGATTATTTATGGTTACATATTTCCATTTATTCAGGTGAAAATTCCTGATGAATTAAAACCATGGTTGGTTGATGATTGGGATCTCATAACGAGACAAAAAAAACTTGTTAATTTACCAGCAGTTCGTTCAGTCGATCAAATATTGGATGATTACCTTAAATTTAAAGCGAATAGTAAAAATAATTCAAAATACATGTAAGTGTAAACCTTTGTTATTCGAAACAGGAAAAATGATCAAAAAAAAAATAATAATAACTTACTTGTTTTGATTTATTTTGTAAGGGAAAGTGCTTGCCAACAAGTCGTCACAGGTCTTAAAGAATATTTTAACACAATGATAGGATCTCAACTTTTATTCAAATTTGAACGACCGCAATATTCGGATTTATTGCGCGAACATCCAGATAAACCCATGTCTCAGATATATGGAGCCCATCATTTTCTAAGAATATTCGGTTTGTTTGTTTGTTTGATTCTTTCCTCCTCCTCCCCCCCTTTCATTTTTATTATGTAATTATTATATATATATTTATTTAGTTAAAATTGGAACTGTGCTCGCATATACGGAGCTAAACGAAAGGAGCACGACTCTTTTACTAGCCATGCTTCAAGACGTATTAAAATATCTTTACACAAACGCCGGAAGTCTTTTTTCAATTCAAAATTATGGAATTGCTCCACCTGAATATCATAGAAAAACCGTTTGAAATTTTTTTTTTTTTTCCGTTTTCTTTTTCTTTTTCTTTTAAATCGTCTTATGTCTTATTTCTGTAGATAGATTATTAATTAATATTTAATTCCATTATAAGTTTGTTGTTGAAAACAATTTTTTTTTTTTCTCTTATTGTTATGTTTAATTATGATTGATTGATAATAATAATAATAATAATAAATGTAAAATGATGATGATGATGATGATAATTCATTGGAAATGAAGTTTTACGACAAAAGGAAATTATTTTCATTTTGTAGATTTTTAATTAATTATTAAGTTATTATTAAAATATTTTAAAATGTAATAATTATTGGCATGTTTAATACATTTGAAAATAAAGGAAATGAAAATGTACACGTCAATCATTAACCGTCGTCGTCGTTTTTTTTTTGTTATTTAATTTAAAAAAAACATTGATTAATGATATTTTTTTTAATATTGTAAGGAAGT